CAGGCGGTGCGGCTGCTTGCGGCTCAGGCTTTGAGGCTGCAGCTGGAGGCGCTTTCTTCTAAAAATTGCAAAATTAATCGCAACAAAAAGTGTGATAATAACAATAAAAATAACAGTATGAGGCTAAGGTTACACCTAGGCTGAGGCCATGAACAATAGGCGTGGCCTTAGTCGCTATACGCGAGCGTGCTCTCTCGCGTGCGGGGCCCCCAAATTAAACAAGTGCCCAACAATAATAAATATCAAAATCTTACTCTCGCCACCATGACCACCACAAATTTCGCCGCGTCTATTTTCACCTCTTCCACAGTTTGCGCGTCGTCCAAAATCTAAAATTTGCCCCTTTAAACCAGTTATTACCCCAATATAACAACAATAATAAATAATAATAACAACAATAAATAATAATAAATAACTAAAAAATAGTAACCAACAATAATAATAACAATAAAAGTAATAACAAAAAATAAAAGTTCTCCACAAAAATAAAAATAAACACCGAATCCATTAATACCTTTCCATTGTAAATCAATTTTTGAGCATCTGCCGGATACTCTGCCTCGCCTTTTTCCGTTGCTATTTTCGCTTTCAGCTNTTAATTAATTAATAAGCAACGCACCGTCACAGAAGGATCCACCTCGATCTGAAAAGTGACCTGTGATATTGTCTTAAACGTGATCAGCATTTCGATTCTTTCGTTTCCTTTCGTCTCTGCTGTTGCTAGCACCCAAATTAAATGTCGTCTGAAAAATTAAATTTACCCACTTACTTCAAAACAATTCGAAAATTCAGTGCCCAAACTCAAACTCCACGGGAAGGGTGTTTACTTACAATTCGGAAGAAGGCACAAACCTAAAATACCCGTCTGAAACTCCTCTACCCAAATCTCTTCCCTATCAGATGCTTTTGTCTAAAATACGACCAAATTAATACTTCCAAACTGTACATCCACAGATATACAAAACTAAACTGCTTGCAGATAAACACGACTACAAACAAATCAACTAGAGACATCAGCATTAAAACGCTACACTTTCATTACGAAACACCTCAAAACCACTACACCAAAAGAATTAAAAATGATAAATTCTCACTCGAAACACCGTTCATAATCAAAATATTTCCACTATTTTACAACGAAAACCCAAATTTAAACGATCAAATGAACACAAAACTCTCCAATCACCCCAAAAAAAATGCACTAAACATTCACGAAACATCATATCACGTCAAGCTTGAGCAGTTTAACAACACTCGTCGTCGTCATTTAGGCTTCATCAAAACATCAAATTCAACTGTCATTTCGCAAAATTTTCCCAAAACGCGAGAAATTTCTATGAAAGTTGAAAATTTTCCACTTGGAAAACCGCAAGACTAAACCGTTTTCCGCCAAAAAAATGAAAATTCCCCCAGAAAAAGAGAACTAAAAAGTGAAATCCAAAAATTTTGATGACTTTTCACAT